ACAAACATTCATCATCAACACATAAAGGAACACTTCATCCTTCAGTTTATCACAAACATTCATCATCAACACATCTGGAGATTTGTGGTTTTACCTGGACAGGAAGGGGATGAAAAATATATGAGAAGAAACTAAAACTGTCAGAGACATGTAGTAAAAAGTACAATATTTACCTCTAAGATGTAGTACAATAAAAAGTTCAATATTTACTCTGAGATGTAGTACAGTAAAAAGTACATTTACCTCTGAGATGTAGTGGAAAAAGTACAATTTCTGGTTAAAATACTCCCAACCACTAGGTGGCGACATTGCACCTTAAACTAGTTACCAACCTTCAAAAAACATGAAGAAGGAGAAGTTCAAAGTTCACTGGGAAGTTACACTCGTGTGCTGCTGTGGCGTGTTGCCCTAACTCAACATCAACAACAAAAATAGATTTAAACATATATTTTTCGGAGGAGACAGTTCACGGAATAAGTAAGTAAACATTAAAATGCTGCAACCTCCCTCTGACGTCATGACTCGGAGCTTTTAGCTGTTTTAGCGGATGTTTACACCAAGTTGTTGGCTGCTAGCCGATGTTAGCGTGCTACACCTGCGACTGGCGTAGTTCAACAGTTTATGTTTAATTAGTTTATCTTTACGTAAGTAACGGTTGGTGACGTCACGTGTCCCTTTCAATCTGCTTTTTTACCTTATTTAGTGATTTTAGCTGTTGCCTGACAGCTAACGTTAGCCGCTGTTTAGCTAGGCTGCTAAGCTAACAAACTATCCAGATCTGATCTTACACAAGTGTAACGTTACTGCCCGTTAATGTTACTTAACCTAGAAACAGACACTAGATTTACTAACAGTTCAACGACAGTATGTCTGTCCGATCTGCTCAGTGTCCAGTTTGTCTGGTATCGTTACACCGAGCTTAACTTCAGAGTGTTATACAACAGCCCTGCAGTAAATTCTGTTATTATGTTACGAGACTACAGCCTCCCAAATAACCACAGTTCAAAAGTCTCTCTAAAAAAAGTAAAAGCAGTAATAATTAAGTGTAGAAAAATGATGTCACAATGAAAAGTCCTGCATTTAAAATGCAAGTAAAATAAGTACTGGCATCAAATAAAAGTACCAAAAGTAAAAGTACTCCTATTTCAGAATCATATAAGTGTTTTATAATCATTGATGCATTAATAAGTTCATCACTGTAATGGTGCAGCTATATTAATAATCTTTAACCTGACTTTCTTCTCTTACCTTCAGGTTGCAATGTCCTCCTACACCTGCATCAGCTGCCGAGTGGCCTTCGCAGACGGCGAGGTGCAGCGAGCGCACTACAAAACCGACTGGCACCGCTACAATCTGAAGCGCAAGGTGGCCGACATGCCGCCGGTGACCGCCGAGAACTTTCAGGAGCGCGTGCTGTCGCAACGGGCGGCCGACGAACAGCAGCTGAGCGACCTGGCGGCCACCGAGGGCTGCGCCGTCTGCAACAAGAAGTTCTCCAGCGCCAACGCCCACCAGAACCACATGCAGTCCCACAAACACCAGCAGGCCGAGAAGCAGGCCCTGCTCGCCGCCCAGAGGAAAGTGGAGAAGATGAACGAGAAGAACCTGGAGAAGGGACTCGGCGATGAGAAGGCGGATCGCGACGCCAGGAACGAGGCCCTGCAGCAGGTCCTGAAGGAGCAGCAGAGGCCGAGTCCAGCCCAGCAGGAGCAAGGAGCGACGAGGCAAAAGGTGGAGAAGATGGAGAAACCCCCGAGGTTGATGTGGCTGGAGGAGCAGGCCAAGAGGAGAGAGAAAGAAGAGGGAGCCACCGCCGTGGAAGGTGAGGAGGAGAAATAAAACAATGTACTTCTTCAAAGAAGTCTGCTTGTTTTTAAGATATTTCCCTTAGTTTCTCACAATTTCTAGACCTTTGACGTTCTCAGAAACGCCTCCCATACGGCCTAAAATGTTGGATACAGTGGGTCCATACACCGACTCGATGTCACGTGTGTGTCTTGCTTCCCGATCGCAAACAAGCACTACACACCTGTGTCTAAACACTCTTGTTGCATTGTGATGCGTTCAAGCTCTATTCAGTTAAAATGAGCATTGGGTGAAAGGGAAATTGTGACTTTAATGTGTTCAAATGTAATCTTGTAAAATTCAGTATTTGGCGAGAGACCTGAATAAATCAGTTGTTTGAGTTGTTTTCACACGCACGTTTTTATTAGTTCTGTGTTAAAAAGTGACATCTTGTTCCAATAACAATCTTCCAGAAGAGTGGGAGGATGTCAACGAGGAGGAAGATAATGATGAGTTGGGGGAGGAAGAGGAGGAGGATGACGAAGAGGACGAAGAGGAGACGATGGATCAAGAGGAAGGAGACTCGGCGGCTGCGTCCGGCCCCAAACCTGCCGCTCTGCCGGGTTCCATCCCCGTCACCGACTGCCTGTTCTGCTTCCACCACTCCAAGTCACTTGTGAAGAACATCGGCCACATGACCAAAGTCCACAGCTTCTTCATCCCCGACGTGGAGTTCCTCATCGACGTCGGAGGCCTCGTCCGCTACCTCGGTGAGTTAGCCGTATGACATCACTAACGTATGACATCACTAACAGACTGATGTTCTGCTTGTTGGTAATAAACTTACTTGTGAGGGTTTTATTGTGTTTGAGACGACCAGAGTTCTACAATGTTTACTTCTCTCTGATCATGATGTCAGTCTCACGCTGTGCTGAGAGAGAGAGAGACACAGAGAGAGAGAGAGAGAGAGAGAGATGGAGACAGTATCGGACACATTTTAGAATAACAGCTGCCTTCACAACAGGACTGTTTGTGCCATAGACTCGACCATTCTTGAGGCTGAAGTCGTTGTTCTTTCTTGTGTTCAGGAGAGAAAGTGGGAGCGGGAAACGTGTGTCTGTGGTGTAACGAGAAGGGACGCTCGTTCTACTCGGCAGAAGCCGTTCAGAGTCACATGATAGATAAGAGTCACTGCAAGCTGTTCACAGACGGAGACGCTGCTCTGGAGTTTGCAGACTTCTACGACTTCAGGTAACAAAGTCATTTAAATACATAATCTGTGCTCTATGGGGCTTTGTTTAGTGGCCAGATGTTACACACAGATATTATAAACGGATATTAAAGTAGCTAAAGGCAACAGGACGGCTCCATCTTTGTGCTTCTGATTCACACTTTTTATTTATTTTATTTTGACCAACAGGAGCAGCTACCCGGACAGGAAGGACGGAGAAGAAGCTGAGGTGGACGAAGAAGATCTGTCTGATGACAAGAACCTGGAGTACGATGACGAGATGCTGGAGCTCACTCTCCCTTCAGGTGACTTTAAAGTTATTCATAACCTTCAGGATGTATCTCTGCTCTCATTGGCTCGGTGTGAAGACATGTTAATACTGTAACAGAGTTCTCTTCCTTCGTGTCTCCTCAGGCGCTACGATCGGCCACCGCTCCCTCATGAGGTACTACAAGCAGAGGTTCGGAGCCCAAAGAGTGGTGGTTATGATCCACAACAGGAACGCTGTGGGCCGGGTCCTCCGGCAGTACAGGGCTCTGGGCTGGGGAGGAGAAGGAGGTACGGCTGTCTTTTTATTTATTTATTTATTTATTTATTTATTTATATATATATA